CTTCCAACTCGGTTGATTCTATGATTCCCTTGTCTCCGAGAGCAGCAGATACACAGGACCAAAACAGTGACAGAGGACTTGAAGAGAACGAGGTAGGATTTTAGTACAGGTATTTGTGACAGAACAGGTTGTTGAGAGGTATCCAGTTTGTGACTATTAACAGTGTTAGCCGAGGAGTCTCCAGAAACATTGAAGTATTGCCACACAGACTGTCAGGCACTGTGGGTCTGTGCAGTGTGACTATCCCCATTCTTTCCTCTTTGCCAGGATCAGACCGGTCCAAATACTGCAAAAACAAAAAGGAAAATTAAAATGAAAAAGGCTGCTGCATGCCTGGATACGTGTCACTAGTTAGGCGAGGCCCAGCAACACTCGAAGGAGATAGGGCCGAGCCACTTGGACCTGCAAGAAATATAACTCAGTTGAAGACATAACAGAAGGGTTTCAATAAACTATTCCAGGACAACATGCTTGCAGTTGTCTGTGGAGATCCCACAAGTTTTGTCTTACTTCTGCCTAACCTCAGACACAGGGAGCATCCCCTGGGTCCATCAGTACCAATGCACAGGAATGATGCAATTGAGTCAAACACTTCAGGGAGAGGATTTTCTCAGTCGCCAAGAGAAAGACAAGACAGGTTCCAGCTATAAGACTTTGCTCCAGCACTATTTCCATGTGGGAGTGGTACCACACAGGAAACTCAGCAATCCCAGTGCAAGGCTGCAAGCCCAGCAGTGGGTCAGCAGCCAAAAGCATAGTCTTCTGATTCCTCTCCACTCCCAGCAGACACATAACCGGATTTTTCCAGAGATGTACACTACTGCTTCCATCTGCCTTCCACAACTGAATGAGATGGATTTACCCACTGAGGAGCAGCACATCCACTAGATGCTTCAGACAACACAGGGTCTGTCAAAAGGCCCTTCCTGACCCACTCCACAGACTCCTCTAACTTGCCCAGTCTCACTAACCAGCTGCACTTCAGCTGCTGAGACTTGGTTTAAAGTCCTCTTTACAGCAACAAAATTTGCTGCCTTTTCCTATGTTTTCCATCTTGCCTTCAGCTCACTGCCACTGCTAACCCCAGAGCACTCTGCCCAACACCTCTCTCCACCACACTAAGCCCCTGCAGATGACTACTGTGGCATGCAGACATGCCTTCTCATAGTCCTTGTCCTTTCAGCCCCAGACCTCTAACAATCTGTGAGCTCCCTCCAGCAGCCTTGCCATTGTACTGCAAGCACTCTGTGCACCACAGGTGCTGGGAACCCAAACTTAGGCTGATTTATCCCGGTTTTTCTGGTTTCTTTGCAGTCCTGGGATGGAAGCTGGCTGCTGCCCTCTTTTTCCTGCAATATTTCTATGTAGCTTGTGGCCAAGAGATGATCCAGGTGGAGCATGAAGGGAAGAGCCCCATTTTTCCGGAAGCTGCAATGACTGTTTGCCCTCCTGTGTGCTGGCTCCACTTACCGTGTCACTTGGGCTCTACAGTGTCAGTGCTGACAGCTCTGCTCAGCTCTGCACATGTTCAGGGGAGCAGAAGTGAACTGCAGTGAGAAGCAGAGAGACAGCATTAGGAGAGCAGTGACTGGGATGCTGGCCACATTGCAGCCCTTCTGTTGTGGCCTTTTCTTTAGGCATCTCAGTAAACCTCTCTCAGGGTATCCCCAGATCTGGCAATTCCAAGGAATATCTTGATCCCAAGACCACCAAATAAAACCCGTGATCCAGGCATTAGGAAATCCATGTGCTACCTGTGGAAGCCTCCTCTCTCCTGCTCCTGTGCAGGGCAGCTTCATGTTTCCCAGAAGGGCCATGGCTTGGCAGATGATATGCCCCAGCTCACCTGCTGGATTTCCTGCATTGCCTGGCGTATGGAAGAGCGCAGGCGAGGGAAGGCTCGTTGGCTGCTTTCTTCAGAGTCTGGCTTTGTCCTACACTTGTCTGGGACCTGTTCCTTTTGGAAACTCTTGGTCTTCCTCAACCACATCTCCCTGAGAGCTGTGGCTGCTCCTGGCTGCAGGGAAGGCCTGCTGGTCGAAGGCTCGGAGGAGCAGGACTGCTTCTCTGTAGGACATTTCTCCTGGCCTGCTAATGAACTCAGTGTGAGGTGCTCCAGATCTTCATAATCCAAAATCTCACTACCTTTCTGAAGAAAGGAAGAGTGGATTCAGCAGTCATTTGCAGACCCTCCAGACACACCAAACAGCACAACAAAGAGGAATATCCAGCTGTGTCCACTGCTGACATTCAGGAGCCAACACTGCTAGCACCTGCCAGTGCTTCTCCCCCGAC